GAAGAGAAGAGAAGAGAAGAGAAGAGAAGAGAAGAGAAGAGAAGAGAAGAGAAGAGAAGAGAAGAGAAGAGAAAATACAGAATGGGATGGAATGGAATGGAACGGAATAGAATAGAATATAGAATAGTAGAATAGAATAGGATAGAGAATAGAATAGAGAATAGAATAGAATAGAATAGAATAGAATAGAATAGAATAGAATAGAATAGAATAGAACAGAAAATACAGAATGGGATGGAATGGAATGGAACGGAACGGAACGGAACGGAACGGAACAGAACAGAACAGAACAGAACAGAACAGAACAGAACAGAATAGAATAGAATAGAAGAATAGAATAGGGTATAATTAGATTAGAATAGAATAGAATAGAATAGAATAGAATAGGGTAGAATTAGATTAGAATAGAACAGAATAGAATAGAGAAAAGAAGAGAATAGAATAGAATAGAGAAGAGAATGGAATGGAATGGAATGGAACAGAACAGAATAAAAATGAGAAGAGAAGAGAACAGAATAGAACAGAGAAATAGGACGGGAAGGGAAGGGAAGGGAAGAGAAGAGAAGAAAAGAAAAGAGAAGAAGAGAAGAGAAGAGAAGAGAAGAGAAGAGAAGAGAAGAGAAGAGAAGAAAGAGACAGAATAGGACACAGCAGAACAGAATAAAGAATAGAGAAGAAACTGGAGCAGGAACAGAAAAGAGAACAGAGAACAGAGAACAGGGGAGGGGAGAAATATTTTATTTGGCCAATGTGATTAAGCACACAAGGAATTTGCGTCCAATGCAGGAACTCTCAGTGTTCATGCAACAAAGCAACAAAATTACAACAATAACAATAATAACACCAACAAGAGGAGATAGTAAAGAAGATAATAAAAAAGATTAACGAGAATACTACAGGCCTGCAACATGGGTAAATATACGTATTAGACAGGGCTGTTGGGATTCGGTGTTCAGCCGAGGGATGGCGTGGGGGAGGGGTCCCTACAATATGCAGGTCCTCCGTGCGAGAGGCATCCTGGTTGCCCTTGTTCTTTCTGCAATCCTAGCTACCGCTTGGAGCCTTTACCTGTCCTGTTTGGTTGCTGTACCAAGCCAGTTATAGAAGAACCAGTGATAGATTCAGTAATGCTGATTGGGGAATTCTGGGGATTGAAGTCCATGCTTCTGCAAGGGGGTCCAACTTTGTCCTTTGGCCTGCGGGGGTCTCAGGGGACCAGTGAGATATTGAGAAGCTTCATTGTGGATCAAATCTTTCTTTCTTTTTTTTAAGTGACCATGCTTGACACATTTATTGCTTTTATGGGTTTTTTTTTTCATACAGCAATAATGACAAGGTCATTTATTAGGGGGAGGCAGCCTTATAAACTGGATGAATAAATAATAAAGAAATAATAAAGAAATAATAGCTCTGGAGTCTTTATAAAACACAAGAAAACTGGCATTAAATGGATAACTCTTGGCCTCTTTTCCTGAAAAACAGATTGCTGTTTTATCTACCTATTGAAAAAAGCTCATTATAGCAGCCTCAGCGGTGGGATTGCGTAGCATGAAACGGAATAAGCATGAAGCTTAGTCATGTAACAGATAATTTGACTTAAACTTTAGGGAGTATTTTTTTTTTTGCATTGTTCGTCTATTTTTGCTGTTTCCTTTTAACAATTTCTTTATGGATGTGGTTGGGATTTTATAATCTGGGTTTGAAGCCATCTGGGTCATTTTTCTATGGAAAACTAGACAGATAGATGTGGGGGGAGGGCAGAAAGACAGAGAAAGAAAAATATGGGATGGATGAATGGGTGGATGATGAATGAAGAGATAGATTGACAATGGATGGATAGATATTAATAAGGAATGTAGAGATAAATTAGAGAGAGACAGAGATATGGATGACAGAGAAATATGGATGAATGGAGGGAAGGAAAGAGGGAGAAATATAGAGAGAGAAAAAGGGATGGATGGATGGATGGATCCGAGAGGGAGAGAGCAAAAAGAAAATTGGCAAGAATTAGGTGGAGAAAACATCATTAAATAGGTCTGTCTCTTACAGTTTTGCACTCAGTGTAAAGAATTGAGAATTCTATATGAAGACAATTAGTTGGAAGTTTAAATTATTTTAATAGACATAGAGGTTCCTGCTAACATTATGGAAAGTAGCATTATTCATGTCTAATAAATCATGACTACAGTGAAAACCATTGTCTTCCAGCACCTCTTCAGATTCTTAAAATTGCCCTGCGTAGACATCAAATAGTTTTCACATAAAAGCTATGGAAAATGTTTTGGCAAAACGTTAAGAGGTAATGAATGGTGATTTTAATTCAAGCCATTGGAGCCACAGCAGGTCACCAAGAGCAAACTTCAAGTGAAGACAGGCTTTTTAAAAAGGTTTTGTAGAACCTCTTGTGTGTTTTTTTTTAAAAATTATCCAGTGGACAGCCAAGCTGAGAAAGAAAGAACGAATGAATGAAAGAAAGAAAGAGTAAAGAAGAAAGAAGGGGGGAAGAAGGAAGGAAGGAAGAAGAGAGGAAGGAAGGAGGGAGGGAGAAAGGAGGGAGGAAGAAGGAGGGAGGGAGGAAGATAGAAGGAAGGAGGAAGGGATGAAGGAAAGAAGTAGGGAGGAAAGAAGGAAGAAAGGAGGATTGAAGGAGAAAGGGAAGAAGGAAGAAAGAAGGGAGGAAGAAAGACGGGAGGAAGAAGAGGGAGGAAGAAAGAAGGAAGGAGGAAGGAAGGATGGAAGGAGAAAGGGAAGAAGGAAGCAGGGAGGAAGGAAGAGAGGGAGGAAAGGAAGGGAGGAAGAAGGGAATGAGGGAGGAAGGAAAGGAAGTAGGAAGGAAGGAGGGAGGGAGGCTGGAAGGAGGAAGTGAGGAAGAAAGGAAGGAGGGAGGAAGGAGGAGAGGGAGGAAGGAAAGAAGGGAGGAAGAAGGAAGGAATATAATGGAAGGAAGGCGAAGGGAGAAGGAGGAAAGAAAGGAGGGAGGGATAGCGTATTTTCTACACTCGGGAAAAGGCTCCACAACCACCATAGAAAGCACGCAGCCGGAAATCGCTCTGCCGTCGGGATCTCATGCTCTGGTTTTTCCCCTCCACAGGTGGATCCTGATGACGTCCTAACGAAGGAGGAGCAGATCTTGCTCCTGTTGAAAGCCAAGGCCAAGTGTGAAAGACACGTGCAAGCGAAGGGGCCCCACGTGCCAGGTGAGTGGCCGCCTGGTTGCACCTCCCTTCCAAAACAAACTTTTTTTGGGCATAGAAAAAAACGCGAATGTATCTGTGATTTGGGTGATTAGCTGGAATAGGTTAGAGAGCAGGGTTGCCCAACTTGGGCCAATTGAAGGCGAGCGGACTTCAGCTCCCAGAATTCTCAGCCATGACTATGCAGGATGTGGAACGATGGGAGTTGAAGTCTGTAGACCCCAAAAAACTGCCAACGTTGGAAAATAGTTGGCAAGGAGGAGGAAGGATTGTGGGGCCCTTAGCGCTTTCTGAGTTTGGTGGTTTTCTTGCAGATGTTTCCAGACTCCACTAAGGAACATCACGAGTGCACTGTTTTCCCTCCTTCCTTCCCTCCCTCCTTCCCTCTTTCCTTCCTTCCCTCCCTCCCT